ATAAGAGAAAACAATGTGAGCTGAGAAGTTAACTTATACATATTTCCAGAAAAAAAAAAGACAAGAAAACAAATGTTATTCAGAGAAATATTCAGAATTCATTAGTCTGCATGCCTGGTTCATGCCTACTTTAATCTTGAAGCAGTTATATAACACGTAATAATTATAGCAATATACGAAAAAGGCCCTTATCCCCATTTTGTGTATCTAGTGCTTTCTCCAAGGAGACACTGAACTACGTATACTTAAATCAAAACTGTAAAGTAACATAATTTTGATTCTTCACTAAGCTTCTGGGCTTTGGTAACTAGGTCATGAATCAGATATGAGAATTCAGATGTTTTAGAATCAATGAGTGCCTAATGATAGGACTGAGTTCCAAAGAAAATCTGTGCAAGATTCTTTTGATTATAGAACAGAATATGTGGCCTTTGGTTACCACTAAGATCTTCTTTTCTTTAAACATGAACACTCACCCATACCCTCATGGCACACACCAGTTCATGGCACTAAAATTTCTTATGCAATATTGGAGCAAATATACAACCATAGAATGCATGAAACCAATCCACAGATGTCTATATTAAGAAATCGTGATTTTTAAAGAAGAGTCTAAACTCATTAATAGTAATAAACATTCTTCAGAAGTAAAAAGCCTTCTTAGATTGGCAAAGTAGCAATGTACTAGGGGAGAAGGAGGAGAGTTTTGAGTCACTCGAGCACTCTTTGTTTCATGAACTGAGAATGAGCCTTTTTAAGGGACTTTGAAAATCTCTGCAAGCAGTAGACTTCAGCTAACCATCATAATTGCTACTTCTATTATTAAGGAAAGTATTTTTTCCCACATTTTACAAAACACCCAAATCACAGAAACTCAACTGAATAGATTTTATTATTTTTGTGAAACAAGGAGCCCAGAACTAGGATGCTCAGGACTGGTGGAGGTGACTAATACCTTTAATGACACAGACTCCTTCCAACTTTCTGTTCAGAGGACCATGGTGCAGTGTTCATATGCATGGCTGTTATCTTGTGGTCACAAATTGGATTCTCTACATCCACTATTTTACGTACAAAAGAAGTAGAAGAATAAAAGTTGCATACCAGTGGAATGGGGTCTCTTTTAAACAAATTTTCTTGAACTCCCTCCTAGAAATGTTCACTTTCATTTCATTGGCCAGAATTATCACATGTCCACCTCTAGCTGCAAGGGAAGCTAGGACATGCAATCGTGCGGCTGGCAACACGTTGTCTCAGTGAAAATCAGGTTATATTACAAAGAGTGAAGGGGAGAATAGACATTGGGTAGACAAGCTGAAGTATCTGTCATAAAGATCAGAAGTTTGAATGAACAATATAAATATTGCGTCTGTCCACCATGATGAGAGTTTTTTCAGCTTTCTCTAAAAACAACAAAGTCTATTCTACTTAAAATTTTTTAATCTGAATTATTTTCTTCATGGCCTAATACTGTGCTTCATTATTTAGCTTTATTGGTCAAATGAGTGTGTTTGGAAACAGTTTGTACTGCTACATTTGAAATAAAAAGGCTTTGTTTGGCAACAGATGCACCTGGACCAATCCTATTTATAATACAGATTATCACTTTTGCTGAATTAGCTCATAGTATATGATGTGGTTAATGCATATTTTCTTAAAAATTAGTTTTGTATATATTATTCCAAATGGTTTGTGTTCATTTAAAAAAAAAGTGTAAGTGGCTCGGGTGACTTGCTATGATGAGGTCTTTCCAAAAATTCTTGTAACTAAAATATAGCACTTACAATTAATCCCTTTAAAATGAATTGTACATGTGTGAGTATTTGCATTAAACATAATTAGCTAACCACAGCCCACAGCTTATGTCTGCATGGTATGTGTAATCTGTTTATAGAACAGGGCAGATGACATAATGTAGATTTTGGCGAGTAATCACATTCTCCTTCCACAAATAACATCTGAAATGATAAAAACAACACACAGATGAATAGCTCCCAATAGGTAAAATCATTATAGCCCACATTTGCCAACACACTTTTAATCCCATTTTGTTGATCAAATATTTTGAGAGGGAGATATATGATTCTAGCCCATGGCTCAATATTTCACTTTAACAGGAAAGTAACTTTCAGGCATCAAGTATGTGGGGCCAGGAAGCCCTGCCACTGGGAAGAACGAGGAATGTATGAGAAAGCTGAGCTGGGGCTGAACCACCTGCAACAAGTTACCCTTGCTAAAAAGTCTACACCATTATCTGACATGTAGCCTTAACCTCTTAGTGCCCATTTACAAATCCTTCGAAATCAAATTCCAATGATGGGTACTCTCCCCTCCTTCCTCCCATAAAAAAAGAGTGTTATCTAAAGATGTGGAATTCTCTCTGCTTCCTACTGACGACAGTGTGGAAACCCCATCATGTCCCCAGCACAGAAGGACAGGACAGTTTTACACAAATTGATGAATATGTTGCCATTCACCACTGAGTTTTTCTTCTAGGATCTCAACTACTGTTAACTGGACTTCCAGTTATTTTCTTGTAAGTAAATTTTCCCATTCCTGAAGAGCTTTTTAAAATAATGCACATATGTTTTCCTGATTGTAAAATGCTTCCTATTCCTTCTAAGTGATTGTGAATATTTAGAAAGGTCATGAAAAAGAAATTTTAAATTATCTAAAATTTAAGAGACAATTGTTAGCACTTTTTTTTTTTTTTTTTTTTTTACACTTATCTGTTTTTTCCTATGTATATATGTTTAAACTTTCAGGCCTGTACTCTATGGATAATTGAGAATTGAGATATAGATAATACTATAATCTATTTTCTAGTGTAATCAAGTATTTTTTGTAATATTCTTGGTATCTTTAAGGTCTCTGTTTTGCCAGAATTATGCTAATTGGATTGCAGCTGTTTTCATTGTCAATGTTATAATGGAGGCAACTTTATATAAAAATTGTATCTATAAGGACCTTGTTGCACCATGGTATGACATCTGACTCCAAAAAGTGTATCTATGTTTTTGATTATTTCCTTAAGCTTAATGTATCATTTGTCATATTTTCAATGCATAGTAAAAGATGAACAAACTCTAAGTATATTTAAAAAATATATTTACTAATTCACTCAACAAAAACTCTTACTATTACAGGGTAGTATGTAAAAAATTGGTTTAAATTCGAACTTCAGGTAATTTTCTTTACAAACATGGTACTTACAGTGGAATAGATGGCAGGTGGGAGGGGAGGGGGCGGTATATACATACATAATGAGTAAGATGTGCACCATCTGGGGTGTGTCATGCTGGAAACTCAGACTTGTAGGGGAGGAGGGGAATGGGCATTTATTGAAACCTTAAAATCTGTACCCCCATAATATGCCGAAATAAAAAAAAAAGAATGTATGCTATACATACTCTTGATTTTGGCCAATGAATAGCATTGCATTTCTCTTCAATTGTCCCTGCAGGTTTCCATGTTCTTGCACTCTCATCCCCTATCAAAAAGATCTTGAGATCTTACCACGAACCACAAGATTTAGTTAGAAGAGGAACACTGTAAGCAATTTGCCTGTGCTACTTATTAGACTGTGTAAGTTTGTCCTTTTATTAAAAAGGGGATAATGTCAAACTACTTTACAGAGTTGTTGAGAGTTTTAGTTACATCACCTGGTACGTAGTGAGAACTCAAATCAGCTTAAATGTTTTAATCTCAAAGATCCTGAAAGATGGCCTGAGAGACGCACAAAATCATTACTTTATATTCAAGAATCCATGAGATGACTAGGACACTCGAAATGATTAGGGTAGGAAATACAATACACAATTAACTAATTGCAAAATGTGTTTTCATAAGAGGATTAAAGAATCAGAGACTAGTGGAGATGCTTACAGCATATTCTGAAGCACTTCCTTAACAAATGAGTCCACTCTGGCTCAGTGCGGTTAGGAGACTTGCCTCAGTGACATGTTTAGTTTGTGGTAGAGTCAAAATAAGAATTCATTTTCCAGCTGGGCTTGGTGGCTCATGCCTGTAATCCTAGCACTCTGGGAGGTCAAGGCGGGAGGATTGCTTGAGGTCAGGAGTTCAAGACCAGCCTGAGCAAGAGCGAGACTCCGTCTCTACTATAAATAGAAATTAGCCAAACAACTAAAAATAGAAAAAATTAGACGTGCATGGTAGCACAGGCCAGTAATCCCAGCTACTCGGGAGGCTGAGGCAGGAGGATCACTTGAGCCCAGGAGTCTGAGGTTGCTGTGAGCTAGGCTGACACCACGGCACTCTAGCATGGGCAACAAAGTGAGACTCTGTCTCAAAAAAAAAAAAAAAAAAATTCAATGTTACCAGGTGGTAACATTTTGTGCCTTTATTTTCTTGAGGCTGCATGCAGCAGATTTGGAGCATGGGCCCAGAAAATACATAGTCTTAACTCACAGATCATTGTTTCTTGCACATCACCCTTTGAGAAACACTATTTTAAGTGATATGGCTACTTCACTTCGGCAGTTTTAATTTCCTGGAGCTGACAAAGTAGATATAGATGGAGCAAAAGCACGCTGATGCCTTCAGTTTCCAAAACAATTTATTCAATGTACCTAATTCCAGAGTTACTGAGTGAATTCATTTTTTTTTTTTCCTTTGGGTCAAATTGTTGCGGCATTTTGACGGGGAAAGAACCGAGGAGAGCAGCACAAGAAGATTTGGAGAACCATCTTTATTCCTCCAGCAGGATCAGCTCAAGTAAGCTAACTGCCTTCTTCCCAGCTTCCAATCTTCTGATTTCCTTGTTCTCCTTCTGCTTTTATACCCTTGGTAGGGCTCAAACCATGTCCAATCAACTACAAGCTTTAACATCCAATCAGCAGCAACAAGCTTTAACATCCAATCAGCAACAAGACTTAACATCCAATCAGCAACAAGATTTAACATCCAATCAGCACCCAATCAGGATCACCTGAGCAGCACCACCACCGGAAGACAGGAGCCAGCAGAGAGTGGCAGGGAAAGCGAATGTCAGCGTGAGGCCGGGAAGCAGGTGGCAGCATATGGCCCCTGGGGCATTCCAGCACTCAGGGCCCGGTGGCTCTACCATGGGGCCCAGCCCCAGCAGCGTGCCCTCCAGCCAGCCTGGCACAGCACTGGCCCGTGGGCATGTGGAGCTACGAAGAGGCGGCCTTCCGACATTTTCCGTGTTAAAATCAGGTCTGTTTCTTTTCCTGCATGAGATAGTTTGTGAGAATTACACTATTATCAATATGCATGAAAGGTGATAAACACAAATCGCTGTGTACACCCAATTGGGAATAAATTTAAAGGCTTTCCTTTGTACTTGGTGAGTATAACCAATCTAATCTTTATCACCAAATTGTTTCTCAAGTATGTCCAGACTCTAGCACTGGTTTTTAAGACAAGTAATTCATATGGGACATTTAAAGAATTTTTTTTTCCCTGTAAGGCAGGCCTTAGAACAAGGAAGAGTAATTTTCTTAACATGCTATATATTGCTTAATTGGCCTTTGCCTGATTTTCTGGAGGTGCTTATTAACTATCACAAATTTGGGAACAAGAGTTGCCTAATGAACAAATAATAGTTGAATTCCAATTAATAAATTCAGATTATAACAATATCTCCCTTGTATATTCATTTAGATGTAATTGAGACGTCTGGATTAAGTCTTCAATTTCATTTTACGCAGGTATGTTAATAAGTAAAGCTAGAGCAAGCTTCTGCAGAGCCCATCTCTTTAAGAATGACCTTCCAAAGTTTAGTTTAAGAATGAATAAAATTAAAAAAATAATAAAATTATAGAGTCTTCATTAATAACTAACTTGTATCTCTTGTGTTCAGATCCTGAAATTCTTATTGTAAGACTAGTCATTATGAAATAAACTGCTACCGTAGAAAGCATCTTTTATGTAGCACTCTTATTATTCCTCCAATTACATATTAATTAAGAAATATCTGTTATGTCTTAGCTCACAACAGGATCTTTTGTATTTGGTACAGAAAAAAATGACCATACATAAATATCTATATATTGAAACATTTTGCCTTTTTTAAAAGAGTGCTGATTATTCCTTATACCAGTTTTCATAATATTTTTAATGATTCCAGTTATAAACCCTTTCAATACTCCTTTTCTTCAAGTTGTCTTGTAAAACTTATGAAGCAAAAATGTTGTTCCGCTTTGAAATGAGGCTTATAGTCACCTGCAGAACAAGAAGGACCTCTAAATCTCAAGCCCACATTTACTATGAGACAACCCATTGCTATTACTTCATATAACTACTTCTTCTTCTTTTCTTGTTTGAAATAGAGTCTCACTCTGTCACCACTGGATAGAGTGCAGTGTCATCATCTTAGCTCAATGCAACCTCAACGTCCTGGGCTCAAGCAATCCTATTGCCTCAGCCTCCTGAGTAGCTGGGACTACAGGCATGCACTATGCACCATGATGCCTGTCTAATATGTCTAATTTTTGTAGAGATGGGGTCTCACTCTTGCTCAGGCTGGTCTTGAACTCTTGAGCTCAAACAATCCTCCCACCTCAGTTTCCCAGAGTGTTATGATTATAGGCATAAGCCACCATGCCCAGCCCATATAACTTCATTTTAAAGACGAGGATACAGTTAGGATACCAAACAACTGAGCGATATCTCACTTCATAATCTCCTTAGTCATGATTTCAGAGAGTCCACAGTATGTATTTATCTCAAAGTACTGCCAAATCATCTCTCCAGCAATCTTGCTGGAATGCCTACAGCTGAGTGTTAGGAATTGCTGAGGGTTATACCTGTTTGCCTCATTCATTCTATCTTGTAACTTGTGTAGTACAGTGGTTAGGGGCTTGAAGTCAGGCAGACTTGGTTCAAATCCCAGCTCTACTGCTATCTTGCTATATACCATGGACAAGTTAGTTAATGTCTCTAAACCTCAGTGTGCTTATATGTAAAATGGAGCAAGTATCAGACCAGACTTATATAGTATTTGTGAAAATAAAATAACAATCATACAATGTTCTAGACCTGGAGATCTCAAACAGAAGGAGCTTCAGTAAAGGCTACTTTACTGTTATTCTTGTAATCCTAAGTGTGAATATTATTATTTTTATTTCACAGATGAGGAAATCAAAGACTATCAAGCAAGGCACCAACCTTCTTAAAGCCATGTAGCCAAAATGTGGTAACCCAGGATATAGGATTCCAGGCAAACAGGATGCTTAATACTTAACTACTGTGCTAAGCTGTCACCAGAAAACTGTATTCAGCTTTCTTCATCAGAAACAGTTTTCCATCCTATCCCTTTTTCATAAAATTCAATTTTCTCTGAAACTTTAAGATGACATGAAGCATAACCATGCCAAATGACTTTCTCTGGCTAAGTGGGAGGTTGATGGGAATGGCTCTTGCCAGTTCTCCACATAGCACAGGCCTTTAGTCATTGCTGAGTTCCAGTGCCCTCTACCTGGTTCTCTGAGGTTCTGCACAGTGGGTGTACTTAGATGTGATAATACCCACCTTACTCCACCTCCTATCTTCCTGTATCTATTCCTACTTAACATTGGTGAAGATGGTACTTCCCAGGATACAGGCATCCTCCACAGCCTTCCTCCAAGGTGTTTTCTACCTTGAACGTTTTCCATGGTTGTGATCTCTGGCTTCGCACAGGAAGAAGAGCTCAAGGAAGAAGTAAACAACAGCACTCTGGCCACTTCCAAAAGCAGCTCTTGGGCAAAAGTGAAACAACTGTCTGATTTTCTAGTGTCTGGGAGTCTGAGATGGAAGAAAAATAAGGAAAAGGAAACTTTTCTGGACCCATGGCTGTGCACAGGCCCTTAAACATGCCAGGAAACAGGTTGAGGGGGCTTTCTGGGCAATAAGAACATAGAGTGAAGTGTTTTCTTTTTCTCTAAGGACCAATAGGCAACTAAGTGAACAATGACAGTGCAGAGTAATGAGTGCTATAATAGATAATGCGTGGCACTAAGAAGACACAAAAGAAAAGTAAATAACTCCACTGCTTATGTAGTATTTACTTGGGCTGGGGCCGGGGGACCAAAGCAAAACACAGGTGACTGGAAGACGGCTGGGATGCCAACATTGCATTCCTGCAAGATGGGAGCAGCATGTGTAGACACGGATATGATCCATGAAGGAAGACAAAATGATACCCAAGCACAAAAACTTCTGTGGAGAGCTAAAGAAAAATTACCTTGGGCAATTCATATAGAAGGGAAAGGAGAAACAAAAATTTTAATGAAATACCATAAAAATGTGAGCACACAGTTCAGAGTAATGCGATTTGAGATCTCACCCTTGTTCTCTCACCACTGAGCCTCGTATGGCAAGTTAAATTCCATCCCTGAACCTCATTCCTTAGCCATAAGTCAAGTTGGGTGGACAGGATGGATTCTGAAGTCCATTCTGCCTCTAGTGTCATCTGGCTCTCAGTTGGGAGAAATGATAACAATAGACAGCTTCAGTTAAATAGTCACTGTCAAAGAAAACAGAAGAGTGCTCACCTCTACAGCACAGGAGGTAAGGAAGCAGTCACTGAACAGTGACAGGCCCCCAAAGGAAGCCTGATTGGTGGGTATATTAAAGAAGTTAGAAATTTAGAGAAGATCAATGTTGAATATATGTAAATGTGAAGTGTCAGGCTAATATTATAGCAAAAGTGAAGTTAATTTGTCCTGAATTGGAAAACAATAAGGAAAAAATTCTTTTCCAGAAAGGAAAGGCATACATTTACAAATAAAATGAAACTAAAACGGATAAGATGAACAGGAATGATGGTTCTCAGCAGTCACGTGTTTGCAAGTCAGCTGTTTATAATAACCTTAGACTTTAAATTGATTATTTATTGAACTGGCATTTCTTTTGAAAACAGTTACATCAAATAGCGTGAAAATGGATCCAGATGTAGTTACTTCTTTGAGATTATTGGGAATGTATGAGCAAATGGAAGATAGATCATTTGATTATAAAAATAACTAAGAATTCATTTTATGTTTGGAAATATCAAACAATTTTAGCGTTAAAGGCATGGTATGTAAATGAAAAAGACAATTAGCCTATTTTTAATATTAGATGAATAACAGGTATTATTAATTATTAAAGATTCATGTATTTATGTGATAACTCATTTTTGCAGAGTTAATTGATTATTTCTTCCAAAAGAAAGTGAAAAATGTGTGCCATTGTTATGAGTGGCTATATCCTTCATAAGGATGCTACAGTAGGTCTTTGTTTACAGAGGCAAAAAGCTTATGAGACTTTACTATAATTGAAGAGAGCATTTATTTAATTATAGATATTTTCCCTATAATTTTAGAGGAAATACTACACAATTACATAAACACTGCATATAATATCTTTTTAATTTGCATACTGTGTGGTTAACCCTATATTCTAAAATAAGCCAGAGCCATAATTATATAGACTTTTGAAGTTAATACCTGATATTTTCACCAAATACAATCATCTATTATTTTATTTATAAATATGATAGTATGTCAACACTTTTCAGCCACTAATATATGTTGAATTCTTGAGAATAATTATTTATATTTTCCTACCCTTTTGAAAATATCTACATATTTTCACCTGGGTAAATATTTTGGAAGAATATAATTGGCAACATTTTTTAAACAAATCCTTATTATTAAATTGTATTTGAAGTTCTATATGGAATACACTGCTTACTGTTTGGAATCTATAAAGCTCTATTTCAAGAATCTGTCTTTTCACTTTGAACTGTAATTGATATACTCATGCTATTTAATAATTATGTGCACACTGAAGTGGTTTGTTGGTTCAGTATACACTGTTAATATATTTTGTACAGTGATTTCTATAATTCACACTTTCATAGCTGCTACATAAAATAATTGATTTACTTATTTGAATTTTCTGTAATTTACAGTGGATCTTCAAAGAACATGAAGATTTTTTTTACCCAAGATAAAAGAGTTCCTGAGGATTACTGTGCATTTCATTTCTAAAAATTTTAATTTTCTTAACAAGTCTTCATTGATCATCTATTATGACCAAGTCATGGGAATGCACATCTGAACTGGTATGAACTCTGCCTTTAGGGAACTCACAAACTATTAAGGGAGATAGCACACTTGGGCCACCAAATAAGATAGAAACAAGATAAAAAGTCACATGTTTTGCAAAAGAAGAATAAACAGATTCAGAAAAGATGAAATGGCAGAAATGGTGAGAGCTAGATAAGAAACAAAGGGGCTGAGTCTTACACTTCCTCCCACATTCTCATTATCAGCAAAGAGCTACTGGCTTCCTCCTTCACTGGGAAAAGCAAAAGGGAACTTCTGTTAGACACCATCACCACTTCTACACATTGCCATGTCATTACCCCTTACTGCAGATGGCCACTGCACATCCCTGTCCAAGATTCCATTCTCTCTTTCTTTCTGGAGACATTTCTCGAGCAATTATCCCCTCTCTGTCCTGCATCATTAAGTTTTCTCTCTTTCTGGATTAGACTGATTAGCATACACACATTCTTTGTGTGTGTGTGTGTGTGTGTGTGTGTGTGTGTGTGTCTTTTGACTTCATTTTCCTCTCCAGCATACACTGTATTCCTTTTCTTCGTGTTATAAAACTTATAAGAATTGTCCCTACTTGGTATCTCAAAAAGAATTCTGAATATATTACGGTCAGGTTTCTCCTTTCATTACTAAAAATTATTTTGTCAAAACCATTATGGACATGTTCTTTGATAGATACCTTTTTAGTTCTCATCTTCAGCATCCTTCAACTATTTGCAGCATTTGGACACCATTGATGGCTCCTACTTGCCCCTTTCTTCACTTGGCTTTCAGTGTACCACACACCTGGTTTTCCCTCCACCATTCTGCTCTCTCCTTCTTAGTATCCTGTCCTATTTCTCCTCATCATCTGACCTCTACACTAAGTCTTAGGACTCACTTTATTACTTTATCCTTGGATCACTTTATATTGCTGTCCACGCTCCCTCCTTTGATGCTCTCATTCCACCTTATGGCTTAAAACTCATCTTTTTGTTGATGACTCCAGTCTGCAGCCCCATCTCCTGTTATCCTACAGCTCAGATGATAGGGTTGCCAGATTTAACAACTAAAAATATAGATGCCAATAAAATGGGAGTTTCATTTGAAATTTCCTTTTGAAGAAGTGTTTTGAAAAAAGATAGCTTTTTTTGAAATGCTTGGATTTTTTTTTGCCACATATCATATATAGACTTAGTTTTATCTTGCAAAGAAATATTCAAGTCATTTTGATTTGACATATCATACAGAAATGCTGCAATCCTGTAGAAATCCTCTTTCAGTAACTCAACATTGCTGATTCTGTTCTTCATAAAATTTAACTACCTATTCTTGAAGAGATAAAATTTTGACCAACACCTGTCTGCAATAGACAACACACTTTAGAATGATACAGAAAATCTACACTGAATACTCAGAGTTCAACTTTAGCATGTTATGAAACTGACAATGCTATGTTGCATTTGCCCAAATATAGTTAACAATACTAATAACTTGTTGCAAAATGTCACTTGAAATAGTAGCTTTAGCACAAAAATTTTGCTGATGTAATTAATATACAATTAAAAGAAATGAGAGCATCTGAATTTGTTAATACTTTTTTATGTGTGCCATAAACCCTTCATGTTTCTCTGTCATGGAAGGCTAATTCATGCTGCCAATCCGTCATAGTTCTCCTGGAAAGAGACAATTATTTGTACTTTGAAATGCTGTCGGGGTCTAAGCATCCTACAACTTCAACAATATAATCTTTCACAATTTCTACATCACTGAATGACTTCCCTTTTTTCCTGAGTACATAAGCTACTTTACAAGTTGCTTCAGTGGCATCATTTCCATGCCCTATTGCTGTTTGAAAGAATTGTCTTTGCTTTTGCTTTTCATCTTTTACTTTCTGAAAAAACCTTTTGCATTTCTCCCTCTAATTTAAAATATTTGTGGTCCTTATGAGTGTCATGGTGCTGATGAGCATTGAATTTCTTTCATGTTGATATTACAGTATCACAAAGCAAGAAAATTATGTTATCTTTAGCAGACACAAGATGATATGCAATTCCCAATCTTCATTAAAAAAAAATCTGTTTTCTTCTTTCAGCATTCTCTTGGTTTTCCTTGACACGATGGGCTGTTAACAGACAGAATTAAAAAATACTGTCAAGCTGTGCAACTATTCACAATTCCACTTTAAACAGAAACACAGTGCACTGTTGTCAAAAGCTGACAACAGACTGGCATACTAGACCCCATAAACTCTCGCCAACCAGCCTAGTGTAGTAGTGGTGCCAGTCAGGCATGGGAAATTAGAACTAAATCATGAACATAGTAGCTGTCAATTTAGCCCTTTTGGTTTAATATTGTTCTAATTGTGCCAGTCAATCTGGGAAGATTATTTCATTGAAACTTATTTTATTCTTTGGTATTTTAAGTACATTCATTTTAAAAATAAAAGTGTAAAAGATGAAAAAAATGTATTAATAAAAATAAAGGATTTGTTCTGTAAAATTTAGATTCAGTCTAGGTCCTTAAGGCCACACTTAAGGCCCTAGAAGGCCACATGTGGCCTTAAGGCCACTGGTTCCCCACCCCTGGTTCAGATAAAAAATAATTCAGTCGTCATGACTCTTGTCTTTTACTCACATCTATAGCTGATTCACCATTACATCCTACTGAATTTACCTTAAATACTACATTTTCAGAATTTGGCCTTTTCTCATGGCCCTACTTCTATCACCTGGATCCCAGCTGCCACCATCTCTTGCTTCCTAGAGTTCTCTCTGCTTCTGCCTGTGGCCATTCAGCCTGTCCTCCAAACAGCAACCTAACACACACATGGGTGGATAAGGATAGTTATCTATATAAACTAAGCAACTGCTTCAAAAGATATCGCCAACCTTGGATAAAAACTTCTAGAATTTAAGAAAGTTAGACTTGCACCTTGTCCAGGTTGTCTTTAAGAACCTTTTTACAAGGAAACTTTGCCACCCACTAAAGGTTTATCTTTCAAGGTTGATGTGGGGAGGGGAAGCTGTCATTATACATCCATCACTTGCATCCCTGAAGTCATATCACACTGCAAGAAACATTCCAAAAAGTCCTGGCCAAGAGTTAAAAGCTGAACTCTTTCACAGTTTGAGAAATTTGAAAGGTCAACAATTAAAATAGCCGTTAAATAGCTATTTTTCTGCTGTTTTCCTACATAGTCATGATAGGTAACATTTATTAAGCATTTACTGTGTACCAGACCCCCCTCTAAGAATTTTACGTGGATTTTGTACTACTGTGTCACTATTTACATATGAAGGACAGAAAGATCAAATGACCTGCCCAGGTACCAGAGCTCTAAGGTAGTGGAGCCAAGGACCCAGAGCCAGCAGTGTAGTCCTGGAATCCATGCTTTTAACCAACACACTATATACACCTAGCTCAGGTAGATCAGGAGGTCCTTCTCCTGAGTTGTTCAGCGTCTCCCCTCCCCTCCCATTTTTTTGTTTTAGTTATTTAGAATTTTTATTTTCATTAAAGATTCCCATTGCTATGGTTTTCTCTGCCATCAGAGAAAAAGATGTAAATAAACTTGAAAGTATAAATTGGCGATTGAAATTCCCACACCCATGCATACACACATACACATTCCCAAAGTATGAAAAGGCTATAATGTTGACATCTACAGCCTGATCTTCAGAGATATGCTTGGAAGATTAGAACTTAGTAATTATGCTTTTCTGTGACTCCTTCAAATCATGTTGATTAAACAATGCAATTGTATTCCCAAGCCCAACGGTTATTACTGATGAGTTAAATACCATGGTTTAGTATTATGAGGAGGTCTCTCATGTGATGCTTAGGAGGATTATACAGCTATCCTGCACCTCTTTTCGAATCCCACAGATCCAAGAGGAAGGTTGGCAAAACCCTGTGGTGGCATCCATCATAGAAGAGTGCTTCATTCTTTATTGTCCACACAAGAGAAAATTTTCCAACCTGAACAAAGACATTAAGTAAAAAAATCTAATCAGCAAATATGAGTCAGAAATTCTGTAGTTTAATTCTGACAGTGCTCATCATCTAGCCATAAGAAAGTTAATTATCACTTAAGGCTCCCAGATCTTCCAATGAGATGAGCTCATGGCATTATTCATGGATCACGTCACCCGGTGACAACATAGTGCAGTGGAAGTCACCATCCTGGGGTATTTGGTCTCACTTTCAGACAAGCTCAGTTTATTTTTAATGAAAGAAACTAGATTTTAGAAACCCAGTTTCCTTAGATGTAATTTTATCCCAGAGGACTAAGAGAGAGGTATATTTGATTTCAAGGCATTGAATTGACTCACTTAAAAGACAGAAATCACCAAATTAAATTTTGGAGCTTCATAATAGCAAAACAACTAATTAGTAGACTGGGTTTTATTCACTTTTCAATTAATCGAGCAATATATATTGGAAAATAAGAGGAAGATGACTATCATATTGACTAATCTTAAATAAATGTCTTTGCTTTTTAAACCAAACTGAATACATGCCCTAATTTTTTTTTCACCTTAAAGTAAAACCAATAGTTATTAAATGAAACTATCAAACATGTGTGCAGTGGTGCTCAACATATCTGTTTCCCATATAAGAAGTTTTGGCAACATCCAAGAGGAGATTAAGAAATTAAAAAATCAACAAATCAGCAAAATTAAGAAAACACCATTGACACATACAATAACAGCCCATGGTCACTACACCAGACACTTGCTTACCATTCAGCACTGCTTGTGTTTAGTAAGAAACGTTTGCTTCCCTGAAAAGACTCTCTAAAGAAATAATAACACAAAGTCCTTATAAAAATTCTGTGCAATATTTCTGTGACTGTTACCTGTCACAAAATGCACTCCACTTCATAACCAAAGTAAATTATCTACTCAGTTCAGGTTCTATGCTGATAGACATTGCTATAGGTGTTTATACCCAGTTGTAATGAGTTGAAAAAATGAATTTTAGCATGAGAATTTCTTTTAAGGAGTGTGGTTGTATTAAAATACATCCACATATTCTTTGATATTTCTTCCTTCAAGCAGTGGAAGTCAATTCCCTTCTGCTCGAGTTTGGACTATATATAGTGATTTACTTCTAACAAATAGAATATGGCAGAGGTGATAGTGTGGAACTTGCAGAAAGAGGACCTAAACAGGCATTGTGGCTTCTTCCTTGGGCTCTCTCTATTACAGCCTCTGGCAGAATCACCTGCCATGCTGAAGCATGAGAGAGGAGAAAGGAAAGGAAGAAAAGGGAGTAGCTAGTAAAATACTTAGTCACCATATAAAGCATAGGGAAGGGCTAACAAGAAGCCTCAGGAGTTTGGTGGTTGAAAATATTTTTAAAGAAGTAGAATGTATGGTGTGATGTTAAGTTTTTTGGGGGGGTGTGTGTTTAAAAATCAAAAAAGTCAAGATTAGGAGTAAAGATGAGCAAAGTCAAACATAAACATCTATATCCTCCATTTTCCTATTTAAACCTCAAGGAGCTATTTGGGCTTCCATAACATTTCTTGTTTAAATCTCAAAGGTTACAATGACCCAGGATTATATAAAATTTTTAAAAAGTTAATGACCTTCTTATAAATAATTTTTCCTGGCCTGAGGCATACCAACAGAAAACAGAACAACAAGATATGTCATAATATTTTAAAAGTTGATATTTTACTTATTAATGTCATTCTATGATGCCACTGGAATAAAATCTAAATTGACAGGTCACTTGATTGGACTACGTCTGACATCTTTCCATTCCTTAATGGGAGAGGCTGCCCACTGACTCCCCAAGGAAGTCAACTTTCCATGGGAAAAGTAGAGGCTGAAGGCCTCTTCTCATGAGATCGCCTGGTGCTATCAGACAACTCCCTGTACTTAGGCTGCCAGGAGCCAGCCCTGACCACTGACTGATAAGCTCACACAAGGCTATTCTCAGGCTTGTACTATAAAAGGCAATGTCAAATGATTGGAGCAGACACCTCACCATGGAGGATATTCTGCTGAAAAGGCACTTTAGCTCATTATTAGAAAGATGCAAATTAAATCCATAAGATACCAGTAACTACTAGATACCTATTAAAATTAAAAAGACTGACCTAAC